GGCCCAATTCTGTATAGAAAAGACGTACCTCACCAAAAGATGAACGAGGAAACCTGACCAAGTGCTTCCTTCATTTTTCCTCGAATATATTTCATAACAGGTAATTTCTAATAGTAATTACACATCTGATAGTCCTTTGTCCTTATACCCTCCTTAGATGAACCTACAAAAACCGAATTTCTAAAAAACCATCGTGAGTTTCCAATTGAACGTATTCTGATGTATGTTAAGCTATAGGATAGAGATCAGCACGGGCTGAGCTCGGTCAGAAAATTTTATAGAGCGATCTGGCCAAATCGGGCTTGAGCCGCAAAGTATTTTGGTCGGATCGGACAGAACTCAAAATTTTTAAGCATGCGTGGATTTGTAATTTATATGTATATTCAGTACCGAGAAAGAGTATTATCACTGTTACACGACATCTTAATGACTTCGTTTAGCTAATGCCTTTAGAGGTTGAAAAAATGAAAATTAAGAAATCATGAAGATATAAATATGAGCTTGAGACATACATTTATACCACTTAGCCGGCAAAAGCATTACAAAAATGAAGGAAGCACTTGGTCAGGTTTCCTCGTTCATCTTTTGGTGAGGTACGTCTTTTCTATACAGAATTGGGCCGATATTCTACTTATAGTATCACCACCACAAAACAACTCGAAAGTTCAGAAACGTCAAAAAGACGATGTAAACGCGAAATCTCAAAACAAACAATTTTATTCTGGGCTATTAATAACCAATTTGAATATATACTTTTGTTTCGGTTTCTATGTGCTTTTGGAAAGTATATTGACAAAATTTTATTGTCATTTGCATTTTCAATTTTATGTTCTCAACTTAAATCTGAAAATAATGAAAGATGATTTTAAAAAATGTTCGTTATACCAAAATGTAGTCAAAGAAACTTTCTGTCAGATGAGGATTTTCTTTTTATGTTTTAATATTTTAAATAAAAAATAAATGACGACGCAAATACGCTTGTGTGAATATTATATCTTGGATTATATATATTATAATATTATATAATCTAAGAGGGCACATCCTAATACACTTCTGTGCGAAATATTGTCTTGCTGTTACACCGAAGCACCAACAATGCATTGATTCACGCCATTTCGCCACAAAAAATCTGTAGCTACCACACGCAAAAAATGTTTAAGAGATTCTCTCTTTCCTTGAAAGAAAAGAAAGTAAGAATTGACTAAAATCTTTGTCGAATGGAGAAATAATATTTTATTAATTATAATTGCTGTCTCTGTTTGTCGAAGTTCATATTATATAAATCTTCAATCTTAGCAATGATATATTGCTTTATTGTCTAAAATATCTATGGAAGACTAGTAGTTTGTCTTTGTGTCTTTAACTCAGTCAAAAATAAACAAGAAAATTTCAATAAAGTAACGAAAAATCTTTTGTTTATGTATAAATGAAATCAGATATTGGATCAATGTAGCATTCATTGCAGTCAGACCATAAGGTGACATTTTCTGAGTGTCTACCTTTTATCAGTGCATTTAAAAATAGAATTTCGATGTTTTTTGTTGGACATATTTTTTTTATTATCTTCAGTTTGTGATAGTTTGATTTGTCCAAAAATCTAAATAAAAAAAAAATCGTTGTTTCACCGGTAATCATTTTAAATTTTTTCATCTATATCTCTCACAATTTAAATCTTTATTGAACATTATTTTGTAAATACTGAATGTTTAGTGGTTGCACGATGGAGAAGATGTCATTTTTCGAGTGAATCTTTAAATACCAAATAAAATGGTCAAATTTGAAAGTCTTTCATAATAAATGCAGCTAGTCACAAATGTATCATATAATATTCATAAAACATTGTAATTTTATGTTTAAATATGTTAAGGTGAAAAAGTTTTTGTTATTTTAATGACCTGTAAAAAGTTAAGTCAAAAAAAATCCTCATTTTTGTTTCCCTATGAATTAAGTGTTAAAAAATCTTTTAATTTCCTTGAAAATGATGTTTAGCTTATTTCTTTTTTTTTTTCTTCTTGTAACAGGTAAATAATAAAAATAATTATAACAAAAGAGTTCTTCTCTAACTTTACTTAGAAGAAGCAAAGAAAGAAATATTTTTGTTCTCGCAAAATATAATTCTGTTACTACCATAGATTTAAGTGACCTTTCGTTGCGACATACGACAAACTCAATTTTTTTTCCCGCTTTCCTTCTTTCATTCTTTCTCGTTTCTTTCATTTAAATTATATAGATATAACATTTTTTTTTTTTTGTTTTTTTTCTTTCTCTTTTCTCTTTTTGTTTAAACAGATTTCTATGCAAATCTAGACACGGAACAATTAGCATATATGAATATGATCTGTCTTCGCTCTTCTATTTTTTGCTTTTGTTTTATTTAACTAACAAGAAGAAAAAAAACAAAAAAGTAGGTGATCAGCATTATTCTCTTTCACCAACGGAAATGATTTAGTTCTTTTTTTTTTTAAACAGACATAAGCTCATCAAAGTAAGCCAATGACTTATAACATTGTGTCAAAGTAAAATTAGACAGATAGATTCTCTTTTATATCGTTCAAATGTTTTTTGTTTGAAGAAGAAGAAGAAGAAAGCGTAGAAATAAAGGATAATTTAAAATTTTTGTTTTTAGGAAAATTGATTTAAGATGCATATATATAATATAATTATTCAATTTCAGACTACTGTGATAATTGATTATTTTCTTTTGATTATCATAATGAATGTTATTTTAAGAGAAAAACGATTAATTTACATTTTATCTCAAGAGGAAAATGTCGGATCCATATTTTTAATAAAGAGACACTCTTCAGTTCTTCGAGGCTTGTATCCCTACCATTATGCATTTGAGTAGTGAAGTGTAAACGCGGTTAAAAGATCGTAGATTGTTCATCTATAGATATTATTTATCTTCTGGCGCGTTGAGGAGACTGTAATGTAACGAAACTTGTTTTCGTTTGTATTTTTCTTAAGTAAATTTTTACATTTCTCATTTTTGTGAAACGTCAATTTTTTTTTTTTGTTTTTCTTCCTCTTTTTGTCATTATTTATTTAATTTGTATCATTGTTGTCTATCGTTGATAAATTAATTTATTTTCGCGTATGGATGAATGACGAACTAGTAAACCGTAATGATATTCTTATAAGTAAAAACAAGATCTATGGCTTATCCACATTTATCCGACGTTCAACTATGTAAAAATAATTGTGGATTTTTTAGTTCAACAAAATTTGATGGTCTATGTTCGAAATGTTTTGTCAATAAAATTTATCGTGAAAAAATTGAAACACAAACGATTGTTGACGGATTAAATAGTATAGATGATAAAACTATTGTAGAAATTCAATCAATCAATGTTAGTAATGCGAGTAATTCATCATTAAAGATGTTATCGGAAGATCAGACAGCAAGTTTAGAATTAGTAAATCAAAATCTAATATCAATTGATAGAACAACTATTCCATTTTCTACAATGAATAAATCTCCATTATCGAATCCGACAGTGTCAGATGTGAAAAATATTTTCAAAAAAAGTAGAACATTATTACCATTATTGAATAAATCGAATGATAGTTTGAAATCAATGAAAATAGGAGATGAATTATTCAGTTCTTTTAAAAAACCAGCAAAATTAAAATGTGATAATTGTACAAAGCGTGCCGGTGTATTAGGTTACTTATGTCATTGTGGTAAACGTCTTTGTACAAAATGTCGATATTCAAACGAGCATAGATGTCAATTTGATTATAAAGAAACTGGTCGTAAAGAATTATTAAAACAAAATCCAAAAGTGGAAGCGGATCGAATTAACAATCGTCTGTAGTTCCCGTTCTTAAAATAGATGAATTTGAAAGATATGAGTCAACTAATGTAGGCATGTCAAATAGGTAAACTAAATAATATCATGATTATAATTAATGATAATGTATGAGAATAGAAAGAGAAAACATTTATTTTTCATTTATTTTCGTCACTCTATTCAATGGAGTGTTTTTGACTTTGACATAATTATCTTTCAATGATCAGACGGTAACCACGCTATTAAAATAGCTTAGAAAACTTGTGTATGATGTGCTCATTTAAAATGATTTTATAGTATAAACGAAGAAGAGTACAAATTGACATGAAAAGAAGTACGACACTTTATAATTGTCGATTATTGATAGGTTTGTTTCTTTTAACATCTATTCTTGTCTTTATATTATTCTATTAGTACATGAGACTGATATTTGACAATTGTAGGTCAGAGTTACATTGGTGAGCTGTTATGTTTGTATTTAAAGATATTTTTAATACCGAAATATTTAGTTTTCATTTCAACTGTGATGAAATTTTATGAATAATTTGAAATATCGTTTTATTATTGTTTTTTTTTTTTGTCTAAATATCAAATAATTAATGTACTGATGACGAAATATATTCTTTTCAAGGTTGTCTATTAGCAAAAACTATGCAACTATATGATGTACTTGTGTGTGTGTGTATGTATTTTTTTTTTTACTTTATATAAAACAAAAAAAAGTAGATTATATCAACAATAATTATTATCAGTTTTAATTCATATTATCTTAACATTGTATGAGCTTCTATTTGATTCATATATAGTATTATATATTGAAGTCATATAATCTAATAAGTTTATTTTATTTAAACGAGCATACTCAACATTGTCCTCATCAGCAATAAAACAAAAAAAAAAAAAATTGTACAGGTTATCAAAACTTTTTTTTTTTGTTTATTATCGACCCTCGTTATTTATTTTTTATTATTATTAGAACTTATTTATTTGCTAGATTAATAGTATGAGCATCATCAAATAATTGTTAAGATACATAGGATAGTCTATAAAATAGTGTATCTTTTTAAAAATTTTGAACAATAATCCAATAGATTTTGATTTTTTAATGATGTGATCCAAAGAAAAGTTAGTTTATAAGTGTCTGGTAAGCAAGAAATTCATAAAGTTTAAAATCTTTTCTGTTGTTCTTCATTTTTTTTTTTTAAGTACAACACTTAAAAGATTTCTTCTTACCTAAACAATGTAACTTTCTTTCTTCTACTTGTTGTTCACATATGCATACACACATCCCACTTCAAGTATCTCGTATCTACATCCTATTAAAATAAAATTATGCTATTACCTAAGGAGAAATCATAATACAAGTTGTTGAATTCAAATTTTCTTTGAAAAGATGATGTACTATCAACGTAATCGAAAAGTATGATTTTAAACTTAACATAGATCAAGAAGTCTTCTTTTAATAGATTCATTGTTAAAAGGATTGATAAACTCAAACATTTTTACTATTGAGACAAATAATTATTACTATATATATAATTGTTACTATAGAGCGTGTGTTTAGTTTTGAAGTCTTCTTCAGTGTACTTTTTTAATTTTATTTTCATGTAGAAATATATGCATCATTCGTCTTTAGTATATTCTTCCTTGTTTTTGATTCAAACTCTTCAAAAGATTAATCAATATTGATTTATTCTTTGTCTTTGTGCTCACAATTTCATCTTAATAGTAAATTTACTTTGTCTCCCTACTTAAATTTTCTTTATCTATTTCTCTATACCTTCAATCGTTGTCTATTATTACGTAACAAAGTAATAAAATAAAAAAAAAAAAAAGAAGCATAGTGGAACTATATAGTTAATTCTCTTATCGAAAATAAGTGAAAAGATCTAACATGTACTCAAACTTCGTATTGTAGCATTCATTACTTATTGAAATATTGTGTAAATTTAATCAAAATAGAATAATTATTGTTTTTTTTTGTGTTTTCTTTTATTACTTTTTTACTTTCGTTCGAATACACCTTATGGTCGTTGACGAAAATTTCTTATGAAGCTTAGACATTCGAATATATTTTAATAGTCTGTGTGTACGTTTTGATCTTCAATATCAATGGGATTTCTTCCTCTATATGTCTATGTTGATCTTAACAGGTGTTTCATTTTGTTGTCGTAGTTTTCCACTTGTACTTTTGAATTGTATGTGGGTTATAGCCTTGATTGAGGTAAAAAAGAAAAAAAAATCATTTTCTATTTTCTTTTCTTTTTTTTTTTTTTTTTCATTTTAAAAATCTATTAAGATATAAATTTCTTTTTTTTTTATTTCGTTCTCTCTCTCTCATTCTTCAGATAGTAAAATCTTCTCTTCCTTTATCGATATCAAATATGTATATATTATTTACATGAGATCCGAAATCTTTAAATGATCTTTTTTCTACAGAAATATTCTTTATATACACTCTTGTATGAATATCAGTGTGTAAACGTTTTTCCCGTTCTGAGATAGAAAAATTAATAATGAACTATAAACCCAATCATGCTATGTAAAGGTTAAAAGTCGAGTGAGTGAAATGAAATGGTGCTTAAATGCGTCCGTAAGATAAACTGTTAAATTTCAAAATCTAGAACATATCCTTGAACTATGCGACAGCCGTCAGTTTTCTGTATTCTAGAAGACAACTTGGTAGATTGTCATTAAATCAATGGTCTTGATACACGGCCAAATGTTGGGTAGTTTCTGTTGTGAAATGTAAAAGGAAAACACCTGTTGATGCGAAGCCTGGGTAAGCAAGGCGTAGAAGCTATACATTACCAACCATCGCTGTAACTAGTTAAGAAATCATTACATATCCACGTTACATACACTAGAATGCAAAAAGATGCGGATACGGGCGGCATCCACAAATTTAAGTAAAAAGTTTATTGGTATTCAAATACTAAAACGGCTATAATGTCTCGCATACGACTATCTGCGTCGTTGAGAGATAATGAAAATGAGAACTTGTCCATGAGAAGTATATAGGTTTGAGAACTAACCAATTCTTTGCATGTATAAACTGTCCTATATAAACATCGGGTTAGTGTACCACAGCTAACTATTAGTTTAATTGCCTGTTAAGGAACATGTCATTTCTACTGAAGACTATTTTGGTTGTCATTCTACTTAGAAAAGTGCACTTAAACTACCACCCATAATTATCCTTCTTGTATAAAACGAAAAAACTCTTTTAACGTTCGAGTCGCTACGTTTTCCTCTATTTAAAAATTTTAAAAAATTACTAGTTTTTTAATCGGCTGTTGTACATAACTGATCGAGAGTAAAACATCATTTTTTATTTTAATAAGGATATGTTTTTTTATCGGTGCATTTTCATTCAATATTCGATAAACCTTGTTAACCATACAATAAGTTTTTCAAACTTTTTGATACTAATCTACATGTGATAGTTGTGATTATTTAGATTTTATCAAGACAAGTAACGTAAAGTTAATCGTACTCTATTATATGTCACCATCTGATTGTTTCTTGTTCTGAATGAATTTACAGGAGTCTTTTATACATCTAATTTCTATCTTCTTAAATGTGGCTAACAGCCAGTTATACGACAGTTACATGTTTTATCTTAAAAAAGAGTAACTTCGCTTAATTTTATTTTACATTACAATTTTTATACAGTGAGACTAAAATAGGAAAAAGTATTTCCATGAAAATTCCACTAACGAGGTAACCACTCCATGTAATACAGCCTGATTTTGCTCAAACCTGGTTATTTATATGTAATCAAGGATGCTGATTACGAATATGATAACCGTTTGGGCCCGAAGGTTTTTCATAACCTCTCTTTGGAGAACCGGGTTTCGAGAAATTCCGTGAAACCGTAGCAATGTTCTTCCAACGTGTTTAGATTATACTCCGTAAATTTTGCATCAAAATGAGATCCCTCCCAGGTCTCCACAACCTTTCTTTGCAAAGTTATAGAATTTACAAGAAGTGCACTAAATTAATTTTTTCCTTTTCAAACTGACAATGAACATTTAGTGCGTTTCTTGTAAATTCTATAACTTTGCAAAGAAAGGTCATGGAGAGCTGGGAGAGATCTCATTTTGATGCAAAATTTAAAGACTATAATCCCAACATGTTAGGAGAACATTGCTACGGCTTCACGGGATTTCTCGAAACCCGGTTCTCCAAAGAGAGGCTATGAAAGACCTATAGGTCCAAACGGTTATCATATTCGTAATCAGCATCCTTGATTACACATAAATATCCAGGTTGAACAAGATCAGGCTGTATCACTTGGGGTAGTTATCTCGTAAGAGGACCAGGATACTTTCATCCAGCTTCTCTCAGCCATACAAGATCTAATCACTGTAACTTCGAGAAAATCAATGTGTACAGCAATAAAAAGTTAGATCGAGGTCTCCTATGTCTCTGTTTCGCAAGCTGTGTGGAACATAATTTTCTAGAAGTCGAATATGTTGAAATACCACCAGATATCCTTCGTTCAAAAAACACAATTTTGATAGATGAAATTGAAGAAAGAAGAGATTATTAATATGGTGAAAGATTTGGATCGCTAGCTGTTGTCACGGTAGATTTTCCAGCGTAAAAGAGAAGAATATTTCTAGAGATTGAACTAAAAACCTTGCAGGCCTTGTATTCTGAAAAAGAACGCGAAGCCGGCGTTTGTTGACAATAGAGCTTACGGCAATCTGATAGTGCTCGACGAATTCTATTAATTCAGGCCAAAACAAAGATAGAAAAATCTATACTATGCAGTTTTTGAAATAGCAATATGAGAAGGTTTCGAATTCTCAAAGTATATTAATCATTGTTTGAAAATGACAATAGTTGGCGATCCAAATCTAGTGCTATTCAAATAATCTCGTCTTCCTTCAATTTCATCTGTCAGAAAGAATTTTCATTTTATTTTTGAACGAATAACATTTGAAGATATATTAGAATTTCGACATCTGACAAACCACGTTTCATACAGCTTCTGAGAAAAGAGACATGGGAGAGCTTTAATTAGTTCACGCCATTAAATGTGAAACATATTCGAGCTTTCAGTGTTGGTTACTATTGAAAAGCGTTTTCGACTCATAGAGATGATTGTGTATTGGAGATGTGAAGAAAATCCTAATGTCAGGCCAGGCTATTAAACTACTGATTTGAGGTTGAAAAATCTTGTTTTTAAGCGGAAATGTCATTTTTTTAAGCGCTGAAAGACGGATTTCTTTGCACTATCACACGTTTCTTCTTAAAAATATTCAAGTTAAATAGTGTGATTTAATCAAGGGGGAAATTGCGGACTTTAAAGTCCTCTCAGATCTTTTAAAGTTCCCAAAGTCCGCCTATCTAAGCGGACTTTGGGGACTTTAAAATTCGGTAAAGTCTCCGTAAGTCCACTCAAGTCTAAAGTCCGCAATTTCTCCCTTGGATTCAATATTAAGAAAGTTTTTCACCTTGCATTTTTATGGACAACCAATTGCATTACATATCAATTGCTTTGGTAAATAAAAAAAGTATCAATGATATATGCAAATTAGTGTACAAGTGTAACATTCAACAAAAATGAAGAAAAAAATTGCACTAAAAATTTTACTTGATTTGTGCATTGTAGTGAATGAAACTAAAATGTGCTAAATACATACAGGTGAACAAATTAAACTGGAAAAAATTAATTTAGATAACAACAGCAGTGGTATATTCTCATCTTTTAGAGTAATCATTTGTAGAGTGAAAGAGTCTGTTGAATTAAAGAAAATTACTTACAGAGCAGTAGAAAGTTTTAAAATGTCTCAGTATATGAAAATTAGAAAATTGACAACATTCTATGATAGCGTTTGACCGGATTAACTATCCAAAATGTTGTCACCTATTCTAATATATTTTCTAAGTCAGTTTTCAAATAGTTCACAGTATGTATACTGGAGGGTGGAATTTTGATAGAGAATTAATACGCATTATTAAAGTGGCTCTAATTTCTTTGCTTTACTGGAATTTTCAGTGAATTCAAACTCCTTATTCTTTCTTCTTTTCTCTAAGAACAAAAGTCAGATGATCAGCTTTGTTTTTCTGACAATAATAACAGAAAGAATGTGAAATGAATGTTTTTTTTCTTTTAAGAAACAATATCAGATCAGATGTAACATCTGTTCATTTTGAAAAGCAAAAAATCGTCTGGATATCTCTTACTAATAAGATTATTTCATTCTCTCTAGAAGATCTAGAGGGAACTTATTTCTATTTTTTTCTATTAATTTCTAATAACAGGAATACATACATAACATTTGTTACAAAAGTCTTTTCTTTGCACAAAATTAAAACTCATTTGTCTCCTTGAGAAAGCTTTTTCCTAAATTAAAACGTGCACTTTGAAATTTACATTTAGTAAGCTTTTCAAAACATTTTTGAAAATATTTTCACAATTTTTTGTTTTGAAGTTATTAATGTTTTATTGATAATCTTGAAAAGTGTGTTTGTACAAAGAAAGAAGACGATTTTCTATGCTGTACCATTGACGACAAATTGAGAATTAACTTTTTATTTGAATACCGGATTGAAGGCCAGACATTTCTCTAAAAAATGGCATTTCGTACGGTTGTATACGGCTTTATGACAAAAAGTCATGTGACCTATTTCCAAAAGTCTTAAATCATGTAAAACGTTGTATACAGTAAATTTTGTAAAGAAACAGAGCTTTTCGTTGGACGCTTATAATTTTTTCCAGTAAAGCCATACTGGGGCATCCGAAATATCATTTTGTAGAGAAATATTTGCTCTTCAAACTAATATTCAAACGAAAATGATTATAGTTCCTCTACTGCAATTATATTAAAATTTGTTAAAAATCATGTCTTATTTCTTTGTACAAACACACTTTTCGAGATTATTAATAAAACATTAATAACTTCAAAACAAAAAAAAGTTGTAAAATTGTTTTCAAAAACGTTTTGAAAAGCTTACTAAATGTGGATTTCAAAGTACACGTTTCAATTCAAGAAAAAGTTTTCTTAAAGAGAGAAATGAGTTTTAATTTTGTGCAAAGACTTTTACAACAAATGTTATGTGTGTGTGTGTGTGTGTGAAAAAAACAGAAACAAGTCATCTCTAGAATGAAACAATCTTCTTAGTAAGAGATATTGAGACGATATTTTTTGCTCTTCAAAATGAAACAAATAACATTAAAAATAATAAAATTCTAGAAATATATTCTCTATGATTTTATTTTTGAGTGTACCGAACTGTATAGATCATATCTATTAATGATAAATATAGATAGAATTTAGAAAATAGTTTAACAGTATCAAGTCAATTGTTTACATGGTTAAACTTCCAGAGTTTAACCATGCAAAGTTAAAGTCGTTTACAGAAGAGCTAAAGCCTTGAAAAGTTAAACTGATCCTTACTAAGCGCGCAGTCCTAGAGATTCTCGTTCTGTAATCTCTTTCTCAATACGGTTGCGAATATATACGTCAGACGTCATCAAAATAATTCGATAATCTATTTAATACATCTTATAAAATCTCACTACAATTTCGACGGTATATGGATTTGAAAAATGTTTCTAAACTTTGACACTTTTTCTATGCTAGATGATTAGTCATATCATTTGATCGTTCAAGCTATGATGATGATTTTATTTGTTTTTTATAATTGTTATATAAGATAAAATGAACAGTACAATAATGGAGATATTTCAGAATTCAACATTGATAAATAATGCGAATAATTTTGGTACAAAACGAACATTATCACCATTAATAACTATTCTTATACAATCTAAAATTATTCAAGACAATAATGAAAGTAATAGTACAGAAACAACATCAACATCAAAATCAAATGAACATATAGATAATTCAAATTCTGGAAAATCGTTGATTATTATACTTGCCATCACATTACCAACATTAGCAACAATGGCTATTCTATTACTTGTACTTTTATGTTATCGACGGCGTCATTCATCAGTATGGCTTAAAAAAATAGGTAATAGTTAAATTATGTACTATATAATAGTATTCGAGTTTTTTTTCTATAGATATATTATATTTCTGAAAAATCAGTTCATAATAATTAAAAATTATAGTAAATTTCTATTATTTATTTTATTTTAGAGAATGACAGTCAACTAAAGTCCATTGTTGTAAATTTATCAACCGAATCTGAGTGAGTATTTCTTTGTTCTTAAGATAACAGTCAAACATTCATTTCAATATTCTACATTTTCTATTTTAGTTATTCAACAAAAAAGTTTGTCAAAGAACGTTTTCGTCATACTTATACAAATCCTAAAACAGAAACTATTATTTATAATCGAGTGGTAAAATATTTTTTTATTTAATAAAGAAAAAGACATAATTAATTTATTCTATGTTTTTTAGACTGATCCAACTACACCACTTATGCAAAATTCATTTTGTCGGAAAGAAGGTGACATAACACTGATTAAAACATATAATTAATTATGAATCGTCTGTTTTTTTTAAGGCACAATTAATCTGGCTTTCGAAGATACCCCAAATCCAACATTAATAAATTCATTATCGAGTGAAAAATTAACTACAGGAGACAGAATGTCAACGGTACGAAATGTTTCTATTTTACTATATTGTGTATGAATTTTCTAAATATCTCATTTAGATTGATATTGATTTTCCGATATCAATACAATCTTCTGTACGAATAAATCAAACATTTATTGAGGCTATTGCTGCACATCGTTTATCTTTAACTGAACCGTATTGTTATGAATCATCAAATAATCGTTCATCAAGTTCATCAAATTATTCAGATTCATCACAGATCATACTCTTATTTTCACAACGAACAGAATTATAATTATCTATATTCTATTCAAAATTCAATTGCAACGTTTTTTAAAATAAAATTTAGGCAACGTAAAAAATAATCAAATTGTTTTCATAAATTTGATCACTTGGTTTTTATTCGTAATGTAGATATATATATATATGAAATTGTTTTGTAATGACCATTTTTGTTTGCTCTAAATTAATGTTATTTTTGGTATTACTGGATACAAAATAAAAATTTGAATTTACTAATACAAAATATATCGTTTTGATTTGTTTCTGTGAATGAACGGTCCTGTTGCTGATGCATCAGTCACAACAAATTAATCTACATTTTTGTCTTATACTCCGTTAAACTTTTTATC